TAGCTCAGAAAATTGTTATTGAATATGTCAATGCTGTTTTAATGAAATGCTTCTTCTAAGTATGTGGTTATTAAATAAATAATTTTTAAAAAATTTTAAAAAGACCAAAAAAAAAAGAAAAACTATTATAAAATTTGTATAGAGCACTAAAGACACCAATAGCTAAAGAAATCTTGAGCTAAAAAAACAAGTTAATGGCCTCACACTATCCAATTGCAAACATATTTCAAAGCTATAATGTTAGGACAAAATGGTAAAGACACTAACAGAAACAATGAACAGAATGGAAACTCCAAAGGTCTTTGACAAAGGTGCCAAGAAACAGGGCAATCTTTGGAATAAATGGTGTGGTATGGGGAACAGTGGATCCCCACATGCCAAGGAGTGAAACTGAACCCATCTCACATCTCATTACAAATTATAGAATGTTTTCCTAAGAAGTCTAAACATTGTAACATGAAAAAACTTGTTCATGGGTACGTGTGATAAGGGAGCCAATGCTATTGGCAACTTCTATCTGTTCACATACATTATTTCCTTCCTTTGCAACTTTTCCAATACAATTTACCCTAGAAATTCTCTCTTTAAACATCCCATCTCATATGAAGGCTTGCATAGTCGTGTAAAAAGTCATCTTTGAATAGTTTCTAATTTGATATGAATATCTTGTTCTGTTCCTTTTTTAATGTGTATGATATGGAATTTCCAGCACCTGGCTGGTCTCTCAATTTCTTGGGTTATCTGACTATAGATTCTAAGGGTGGAGTAGAAGGTAGCTAGTGTTTTCTAATGCTTTGTCTTCTCTCTCCCCCCTCTCCCTCTCTTTCTCCTTCTATAGGGCTGATAGTCTACCTAGGAATGATGGCAGGAGCCTTCATCCTGGGTGGCCTGGCCGATAAGCTGGGAAGGAAGAAAGTCCTCAGCATGTCCTTGGCCATCAATGCCTCCTTTGCCTCCCTTTCCTCCTTCGTGCAGGGATATGGAGCCTTCCTCTTCTGCAGGCTCATCTCAGGCATAGGGTATGTGCTGGCTCTCCTCCACAAAGTGTCCGTCTTCTCTGGCTCTCCTCCACAAAGTGTCCGTCTTCTCTGGCTCTCCTCCACAAAGTGTCTGTCTTCTCTGGCTCTCCTCCACAAAGTGTCCGTCTTCTCTGGCTCTCTAGCTCCATGTAGCTCATGAAACACTGAATTTTTGTTTGATTTTCAATATAAAATGTTAAAGTTGAAGACTGGCAAGATGGCGCAGTGCTTGTTGCCAGGCTTGTTGACCTAAGGTCAATCTCCAGGATTTACATTGTGGAAATGGAGGAACAACTCCTGAAAGTTGTTCTTTGACCTAACACACACACACACACACACACACACACACACACACACACGTACGCACGCAACAGGCTTGTTGACCTAAGGTCAATCTCCAGGATCTACATTGTGGAAACGGAGGAACAACTCCTGAAAGTTGTTCTTTGACCTAACACACACACACACGCACGCACGCACGCACGCATGCACGCACACACACAGACACACACACACACGCATGCACACACACACACAGACACACACACACACTCACGCACGCACACACACACACACTCGCTCACAAATACGCAGAATTTTTTTTTAACGACAGGGTCTCCCTGAAGCCCCAGCTGGCCCGGAACTTGTTGTGTAAACCAGGCTAGCCTCAGTCTCACATAATTCCATCTGCCTCTGCCTCCTCGGGGCTTGGATTAAAGCCATGCACCATTATAGTTGACTGACAATACGTTTTTTTAAGTCAAAATAACCCAAGATTGCTTTCAATATGCCGAGGGAACCACCTGACTGACCTTTCACATCCATGGGTTATTGCACCAGAGAGCCTAAGGATGCAGTAGAAGGAACTTGGTTTCTTCTGTGACCACTTTATAATGTAACTTGATTCTCTCTTTCTCATCTTTTCTCTCTTCAGTATTGGGGGTTCCCTGCCAATTGTTTTTGCCTATTTTTCTGAGTTCTTATCACGAGAGAAACGAGGTGAACACCTTAGCTGGCTGGGCATCTTCTGGATGACTGGGGGCATCTACGCATCTGCTATGGCCTGGAGCATCATTCCACACTACGGTGAGACACTGATTTAAGAAAACCTTGGGTTCTCTGTCTCTATGGCATCTATATCAAGTAAATACCTGTTAACCTTGTTCCCTATAGTCTCACATGGTTTCTGTATCTGACCTGGACTTTTTCTGAAGAATTTGTAATGTTACAGATTGTTAATTAAAAAATTAATTAATTAATTAATTAATTAATTAAACGTGTATGAGTGTTTTTCCTGCATCACATGCATGCATTGCCCCTGGAGGTTAGAAGAGGTCATTAGTTCTCCTGGAATTGGAGTTATGAATGGTTGTTAGCCACCACGTGGGTGCTGGAAACAGAACCCGGGGTCCTCTGCAAGAGCAGCCAGTGGTTTTAACTGCTGAGCCATCTCTCCAGCCCCAGATTATTAATTTTAATATACATCTTTTTAGAAGGGATATAATCTTCCCTCCCTCCTTCCATTACTCTTTATCTTCTTCCATTTCTCCTCCCTTTTCTTCCTTTAATTTTTCTTCCTTTTGTTTATGACTGTGTATGTGTGCTCATGTGTGCATATGTGGAGGTCAGAGGACAACTTGTGAGTCAGTTCTCTTCCCTCCACAACCTTCATTTCTTCTAGTCCTCTTCCCTCTAATGAGTCAGGCTTTGGGAGACCCATTTTATAGATGACAGATGTGACAAAAGCCAAAAGAAATGGATGACTTGCTTAAGGTTATGCTCCAGTCAGAAATGGGATCAGGGCTGGAATTCCTGGTGCTCCTCCAGGTATGATCCACTTCCTGTCAACTTTCTTCCTCCCTCCTTCTCGTCCTCCCTTCCTCCCTTCCTTTCTTCCCTTCTAAATTTTGAGTTACCATACAAAGCAATGGGTTTCATCATGGCGTCTTCATACATACATATCATTGTATTTCATTCTCATTCATTCTCCTTTCCTTGCCTTCTTCCTCTTTTTGACTGGTTCCCTTCTAGTTAGTGTCCACTCTCCTGATTATTGTGTGTTTCACTACCCTCTCTATTTTCCACTTCTCTTAAGAGTTCTTCCTTTCTCATGATCCACTTCCTATGTTTATTACCTGTACACATATATAAATATATAAGCACACACACAACTTTAGACAGGTTCAGCATGTAAAAGAGAACACGAGATATTAGTTTTTCTGAGTCTGAATTATTTTACTTAACATAATGGTTTCCAGTTCTACCCATTTTTCCTGGAAATGTCATTTCTTTTTTCTTAATGAATACATAAATGCCACTGTGTATATGTATTTCATTTTCTTTATTCATTCATCTACTGATGAATATCCAAGTTGGCTCTATTTCCTGTTTATTAAGAGTATTGCAGTAATAAAAATGGATGTGCAAGTATCTCTGTGGTGGACTGACTTAGAGTCCTTTGGGTGTATGCCCAGGAATGGGATTACTGGGTCATATGGTTGTTCTATAGTTTTGAGGGGGGCGAATTTCATACTGATTTCCACATGGCCATACAAGTTTACATTGCCAACATTTGTTTTTGTTTGTTTTCTTGTTGGAATCTCAAAACAATTTTAACTTTCATTTTCTTGATGGCTAAGAATGTTGAACTCATTTTCAATTATTTATTGACAATTTCTATTACTTCTTTTGAGAACTATCTATTCAGTTCATTAACCATTTGTTGATCGGATGGTTTGAGTTTGGAATGTTTAGTTTTTGCAGCTCTCTATATATCATCTATCTATCTATCTATCTATATCTATCTATCTATCTATCTATCTATCTATCTATCTATCTATCTATCTATCTATCATCTATCTGTCTGTCTGTCTGTCTATCTATCTCTATCATCTATCTATCTATCTATCTATCTATCTATCTATCTATCTATCTAATCTATCTATCATCTATCTATGTCATGATGTGTGTACATGTGCATGTGAGTGTGCATGTGTGTGTGTTACTTCCTTGTCTACTATGTAGTTGGAAAACATTTACTCCAACCTGCAGGCTTCTCTTTACTCTGATGATTCTTTTGTTGTACAGAAGCTTTTTAATTTTGTGCAACCCATTTGCCAATTCTTGGAATTATTTTTTATGTTATTGTTCTTTTCAGAAAACTCTTGCCTATATCTATATTTTCAAATGTTTTACCTATGTTTTTCTCTAGCAGCTTCAGAGTTTCAGACAAAGAGTGAAGTCTTTGATTCATTTTGAATTGAGTTTTATACAGGTTGAGAGCTGTGGATCTGGTTTTATTCTACCTGTGGAAATCCAGTTTTCCCAGCACCACTTATTAAAGAGACTATCTTTTTACTGATGTATATTTTTAAAAAGTTCCTTAGAAAGACTTTTTATTTTATTTTTTATATATGTTTTGAATTTTTGTGCATTTCATACAATGCATCAATCATATTTAGACCCCCTCCCTATCTGCAATCCCCATAACACCCCCTGCCACCAGATTTTTGCATTCTGTCACTAATGTATGTTTTTGACACCTCCATAAAAAATTAGGTGTGTGTAGCTGTGTAAGTTTGTTTCTGAGTCATCTACTTTATTCCACTGGTTTACAAGTCTGTTTATGTGCCAGTACCCTGCTTTGTCACTGTGGCTCTGTAGTATAATTTGAGGCTGGGTATTAGGATACCTCTAGCATTGCTCCTTCTAAGAATTGCCTTGACTATTCAGGATCTTTTTTTTTTTTTTCAGTTCTGTGTAGAATTTCATTGGGATTTTGATGGGAATTGCACTGGATCTGTAGGATTTGGCAGCATTAGCCATTTTCACAGTATTGATTCCATCAATCCATGATCATGAAAGACTCCATCTGCTGGTATCCTGTTCAATGTCTTCATGTTCTGTAGTTTTCACTTAGAAGCCTTTTGCCTCCTTTTAAAAAAAATATTATTTTTAGTTTCTGTATATGAGTGTATTGCCTGCATGTGTGTAAGTGCGCCCATGTTGTGAAATGCCCTAGGAGTCAGAAGATGGTGTTAGATTCTCCTGGAGCTGGAATTACGGACAGTCGTGAGTCACCCTGTGGGTGCTGGGAATCGAACCTGGGTCCTCTGCAAAAGCAGTCAGAGCTCCTAACTGCTGAGCCATCTCTCCAGCCCACCTTTTACCTCCTTTGTTACGTTTATTTCTAGGTATTTTTTGAAGCTATTATGAATGGGGTTTAAAATATTTCCCACTTGGTAAATTTGTTATTGGTATGTATAAATTCTGATTTTTGTGTGTTGATTTTCGTGTCCTTCTACTTGGCTAGGACACTTTCCACTTTCATGCCTGCAGTTGCTCTTGTTTGGCTACAGAAGTAAAGCAATCCAAGGTCGTTTGTTCAGCAAGGACAATTGTATTATCCCTGCTTTTGTAAAAACTGTAATCTCTGCCCAGAGACCAGGCAGCATTAACTTTTACTATAGGTTTTGTTGAAAGTTAAGTGGGGGAAGAAAGCAGCAGTTTTCAATTTTATAATGCCCTTTGAGTAATCTTACAATGTCATCAGCATCCTTCAAAAGCGGTTTTTGGCAAAATACTGATTTATAAATCTTGGTTCTGTTGTAGAATCCTGCAGACCACCAGGAATAGAATGTAACTGCTCCTGAAGTTGACCCAGTACTTCTCTGTGTGGTCATCTTGTTTAACATCTGACTCTGCTCTGTGTGCTGAGCTTGGGAGGCTCTTGTGCATCTTTAGAAGAAGCAGTTACAGTTATTAGTTAAGGTGATATTAAGTGCATTACTGTGATAAACTTATAGGCCCTGAAATTTCAGTGGCTTAACACAATAGAAATTTCTCCCTTCTGTAAATTCAGATTGGTGTTTCTGGTTTGCAGATGACTCTGCTCCATAGGTATTTCTGGAACTCACATCCTTTCCATCATGAGATTCCACCAGCATCAACATATGACCTGCCCATATCTGTGGCATGAAACATGCTACTATAATGAATGCTGGGAAGCACAGTGCAGCTGGGCATCCAGAAAGTAGAAGACTAGGGTTTGGGCTTCCAAGAAGTTTTTGCTATATCTAATATTTGAAAGTCTGCTACATTTTATATCATTAGAAAGAGAGGAATTATGAACAGACTAGTAACAGGAGCTTCCTGCCAATTCTGCCATTAGACATCTTCCCATGATTTCATATAGGACTGCACACTCCTACCACTAGGCTATTCTGTCTTCAAAGGCACATTTTAAACTTCCACCTACTAGGTTTTATGGTTCTGAAAAATAGATTACTTTTACTTTTTTGTGTGTGTGTCTTTTTGAGACAGAATCTCCCTGCAGCCCCAGCTGTCCTGGAACTCACTATGTAGACCAGGCTGGCCTTGAACCCACAGATCCGTCTGCCTCTGCCTCCTGAGCACTGGGATTAAAAGTGTGTGCCACCACACCTGGCTACTTTTACTTATTTTTTAAATTTGTTTTTATTAAATTTTGTTGTATTTCATACAGAATATCTCAAACAATCTGAGTCATCTTTATAGCCCCATCCCACCAACCCTCTCCCATAGTATCCCCACTGGAACCCATATACTCTCTCCTGGGCATTAAGGCCCACTGTGTCAAGTCAGTGTCCCCAGACATGCCCCAGTGCAAGTCCATCTACTTGCAGTCTAGTCAGATCCTGCTCATCTATCTATCCAAACACATCATTTTCTTTTTCTTTTTTTTTTAACAGAGCATAGGGTAGGGGTTTATTTACAGAGGAGTGGGCACCCCCATCTATGGCTGCACTGGGAAGTCCACACTCAAATACAGATCCTGTGACTTCCCGATAGCCACAGAAAATGGTGAAAGAGGAGCCTCCTGGCCTTCTGAGCTTATATATCCTTAGCCCCTCCTCCACATGCAGCTAAGGTCCACTGATTGGGTGGAAGGGGTAACTGACTCCCCCCTCAACTCCTTGATGACTGTGTTTTACTTATTTTTTTTAGTTAAGGTTCTTACATGACTCTGTCAACTGATCCAAATGTGTTAACAATATGAAACTATTTCCACATTTAAATGAAATGTTTGAAAAGCCTTTTGGGAGAGG